GAAGTGTACGAGGGGATCGAGAAAGAAGGGATTCAGCAGCGGCTTAGGGCCGCGGCGGGGGCAGCAGCGAAGGCGTCACACGCGCCGTACAGCGGGTGCGCAGCGGGCTTCGCGGTGGCGGACGGAGAGGGGAGGGTGTACGCGGGGTCGTACATGGAGTCGGCCGCGTACAACCCGAGCCTGGGGCCGGTGCAGGCGGCGATGGTAGGATACGTAGCGGCGTGCGGAGGAGTCGGGGGAGAGCACCGCGGGTGGGGGATCTTCGCGGCGGCGCTGGTGGAGAAGGAGGCCGCAGCGGTTTCCCACGAGGGGACTGCGAGAATCTTCCTGGAGGCGGTGGCGCCGGGTGCCAACCTCAACGTGTATCGCTTCCGCTCCTCCGCTACGGTTTAGATTCGTGCGGATTCCGTGCTTCAGAGATGAAGACGATCGTTGCGAGTGAAAACGAAGGGTTCAGATCGGATAGGGTGTCTAATTGACAAATTGCCGCCACGTTGTTAATAGACGAGACGTGTATGCTATAATGCTAATAAACATTATGATGAATCCGATTTAATACGAGAGAAGCGTGTTTCTTCTTTTAATTTTTAATTTTTTCTTGGGAGGGCACTTTAATAAGAGAGGGAAGAGTTTCACACTCGATCAATAATGATTGGATTCTCGGTTGTCAAGACAACGGTCAAGAAAAATTAACTTCTTCGACTAAACTAATTGACTTGCTTGCTCAAGTGACAACTGATTGGAAAATGGTATGGTGTCAACTCACTCTATCTCGTACGGTGAAAGCCACCAAAGTGAAGGGATGGGCAACTCCCACAACCCATGTAGTCATCGACGGGAACAATTCGTTGGCCTTTACCTATCTCGACCTTTGAATAACGGCCAACAAGACCCACTGATTGTCTTCTGCCTATTGGCATCTCTAATCATGATTAAGGAAAGGCTTACATGCATGCATTAAAGCCCGACAATATAGCTCGACTCTCTAAGCTCCTCCTTCCAAATGAACGGTGTAAAGGACCATCACCTACTCGTCTCGAACAAGCCAAAAGCCCAAGTAAAATACGTTATCACGATTGTCCCATCCAACGCCATCCTTCAGAGAACGTGCTTATCAACCACCATTAATGATCCCCTACACAGGGTAAGAGGCACCCTAACCTGTCATCAACTTCACGACACCAACCACTTAGATAAAAAACCAAGCCCCCAGGTTAAAATGGGGCGAGTAGGCTTTATTTGTACTCTAGTGATCTCTGATGTACCCTCTCCACTTGTTCACATTGTTAACTTAAGCATCAGAGGGGTCAGGTCGGGATATCCCTCCAACACCGACCTTTGTGTACGACCTCGACACTACTAAAGTGTTCCTTAGGAGGACGTAGAGCACCCTTTGGCAAGGACAAGGCATGCCTCTAGACAGCATTGAATCCTCTTCAATAGATTAATAGCACCTCAAAGACCTACGTATCGCTTCGACTTCCCACTTGGGTCATCCCCTTGAGGCCCACGTGGACCCCTATAATGGACTTATGCCTTCAAGATCAAACTAGATCATGTTGACTCTTTGGTCAATGACACCAAAGCAATAATATTTTGATGCTTGAAGGGGGGCCCGAATATCACAAGAACGTCCTTCCATGATTCCTCTCAATGAGTGCTTTAGTGAGGAAGCACCATCTCTGGCACCCAACTCATTTTGGGCAAGGAGGGCATCAGCCCTCCTTCCAACAGATAGATGCCTCCACCTCGACACAAACCTTGAGACGCTATTAGCATCTATTCAATAATCCTGGCCTTTTTTCTCTAGGGCCAAATAAGGGGTATCTACTCATCCCATCTGACACCTTCTTAAGCTTTACCCACGAAGTATAGACACTCATCGACATGATGCAAGCAATCGCCCCTCTCTTGCCTTAGTTGTATAACAGGTGGCTCCAACACTATGACTAGCAATCTAACCCTCACTTGCCCCCTAGCCTTTAGGAGCATCCCTAGCAAGCCACTTTCCAATGCCTTATGAATGCCATTGACAAGCTGCGGTGGCTCTCGAAGCACTATGTCCCTGATATTGGAGTTAAGCACCTCATTGTGCCACGGGGCAATCATGCTTGAGTCGGAGATGCAATTTGCTAACTTGACAAAGGATTCACTCAAAGCACAACTCGTGGCCATGAACCAGCACATGGATGATGTACAATGAGAATTCCTATGCTCGAAAGGTGAGCCTGACACCTCGAGCACTTCCTTGTTTGTTCAAAGCATCCAAGAGGAGCCCCTATCACCCAACTTCTGCCTTTTGGCATTAGAAGCCTTTGATAGTAGCTCCGACCCAATGGAACACGTTGTGGCCTTCAGGGCCCAGATATTATTATTCGACACATCGAACACCCTAATATGTTGGCAATTTCCAATGACCCTAAGGGGGGGTCAACTCAAGAGTGGTATAACCGCTTGAGACCCCTCTCCATCTCATCCTTCCCCCAGCTTGCAGAAGAGTTTGAGCTTCATTTCCTTACTAGTGTGCGTTTGAAGCCATCTGAAACCATGTTTCTTAAGTTGAGACATAAAAAAAATGAGCCCCTCTCCTGCTTCATCATCCGATTTGCTAGTGAGTTCGGAGGGGTCCCAAAAGCTCACCCCTTATTAGTAACCTAGGTTTTCATGATGGGCCTGAGGCCCACCCATTTCTTTGGGTCGTTGGTGAAAAGATCCCCTATAATCGTCCCCGAAATGCTCCAAAGAGCCAACTAGTATGTAGCCACTGAGGCCATGATCTCAGGACGGTGCAAGGAGCCCCACAAGAGACTACACCAAGAATCACCTCAAGGACCAACTCTGGGATCACCTCGAGGGGGACATCCCTACCCCGAGGCACCATAGCTAAGGGTTGAACCAGCCCTCCCACACATGATGAGAACCGAGATCTTTCTCCACATAAGGGAGAAAAGCCTCCTGAAGGAGCCAATGCCTATGAGAGTCCCCATGGATCATAGGGATAAATCAAAGAATCGTTGCTTCCATCAGAACTATGGTAATGACATAGAGGAGTGTCGTGATCTGAAGTTTCAAACCGAAGAGCTCATGTGGAAAGGCCACCTTAAAAGGTATCTCCACAAGCCCCAAGAACTCTCACCTCATCCCCAAGGTAGTGGAAAAACAGGTTAATGTTATTTTTAATGGGCTTGCATCGAGGGGAAATATCTCCTCGGGGCACAAGACTTACCTTCGAGCTTCTACTAAAAAGCGCTCGAGGCCTAGGAAGGGCCACATATCATCTTCAAAGAAGGAGAAGTTGAACACCTCGACCCTACCCATGACAATGCCCTGGTCATCTCGGTCCAAATAGCCAATGCCTAGGTAAAATGGGTCATGATCGACATGGGTAGCTCTGCCGACGTGCTCTATCTCGACGCCTTCGAAAAGCTTTGATTGACAATGAGTGACCTCTCCCTAATGGTATCATCATTGATTGGGTTCATGGGGGACCTTATCTCTTCTTGTAGAAGGGTAACCCTATATGTCACCTTTGGTGAGGAACCCCACTCTAAGACCTTACTGACCAAGTTTATGATGATCAACATCCCTTTAGCTTACAATACTATTGTTAGTCGATCTACCCTCAACCGATTAAAGACAATGATATTAATGTATCATATGACGATGAAGTTTCCAACCCGAGGCGGGATTGGTGAAGTAAGAAGTGACCCTTGGGAAGACCACAAGAAAATAAAGAAAAAAAGCAAAGGAACTTATTAAAGAAAATCCATTATGACAGACCCCTGCTCTCGCTACGATGGTTGAAACAAAACCCATCGCGGTGGACCCATACTCCCACTATGGTGATCAAAATAAGACCCGTCACGATGGAAGCCACAACAACAGATCTATACTCAAGCTACAAAAGTCGAGACAAAACCTACCACAACGTATGTAACAAAGCCCAGCACATTGGGACCCTACATATGCTATGATGGCCAGTGACAAAAACCACTACGATGGACAAACCCAATACAAACGCTTGGGAAGAACCATTATAAGAAGCATGAGGCCGCTATGGGGCAGCGCCCACAACTCAACATGTCTGAACGAAGTAGAACCATGTAACCAAATGACGTGCCTCGAAATCCTACCGAAGCCCCGAAGCACACCTCTTAGGGGGGGGGTCGAATGATAAGGAAATGATAGTGTTGCTAACTCACTTTGCCACCTAAGCAAAGGGATGAGCAACTCTTACCAACCCTTTGTAGCTACCGACAAGAGAATAATCTCTATCAACCCCTGCTTATCTCGACCCTCGAAAAAGGCCAACAAGGTCTACTTCTCGCCTTTCGCCCACTAATATCCCCCATCACAATTGAGGGAAGGCCCACACACACACATTAAAGCACGATGATTTTCCTAGCTCCTCCTTCCGGATGAATAGCGTAAAGGACCATCCCCTGCTCGTCTCGAACAAGCCAAAAACCCAAGCAAAAAACGTCATCATGATTGTCCCATAATGCGATTCTTCATAGAATATGTACATCAGTTACCATTAATGAACCCCTAGACAGGGTAACACCAAAATAAGGCAAACGGGTTCTCTTTGTAGTCTTGTGAGTTTTACTATACCCTCTCCCTTTTTCACACTGTTTCGAGTCCAAACAAGATGGATACGCGAGCAAGTCTTCTGGAAATGTTCGAAGAATCAGATGTGTGCCATCTGTCTATATCGAGTGAGCGCAATCCTGGTAATCTAACGCACCACAATATTCTTATGTTTCTATTCGAATTATAGGCCTTTACGTAGCCATGCCGAACGTAGCATCAATGCAAAACTGTCCACCATGCAGCATCGAGAGCCTGCGTGCGGGACACCCTTTTACGACTCACAGCCCAACTGTGCCCGTGGCCATGTCCATCTGTTCCACTTTGCGCGGCACAGGCCCAGTAGAGTTCAACAAGCCCAAAGGATGACGGTCTCGATTTCGTTTCTGTGACGCCCGGATCGCCACGCGGGCCTTCGCAGTCTCCAACCACACCAACTGCAATCCCGCGCCTCCAAAAGATGATCGCTTCCTCCCTACCGCACGCGTTCCGGTGGTCGCCTTCTCCATGGCTTCCGCTTCTCCTCCGGCCTCGCTTCTCCTTAGGACTCGCCCTCGAAGGCTTTCCCTCCCTCATCCCGCCGCCGCCGCCGCTCGCCCTACATTAGACGGTAGTCAGGGTCTCCGACGGGCGCCTCGCCGCCTCTTTCTCGGCATCGGCGCCTCCTTCCTCGACCAGGTCGCCCACATGGCCTCCGGCAGCGGCGGCCGCTCCTTTGTGGCCTCGGCTCGACCCCAGCGAGGCGTTTCTCCCGTCGAACAGGTCTTCTTCACTGTTTCTTTCCTCTAACCTTGTTTCGGGACTATTCTGATGGAACTGCACCCGTCCGTTGCTGATTGGTGTAGATTCTGAAAAATGTAGTGTGGCCGGAGACGTTTCCTTTCAAGGACGAGGATTTCAACCGCTTTGATGAGTACGCACCCTTAGCTTCTTGTTTTCTTTGCTTTAATGATGCAGCATTCTTCTTGCTTGAGCCTTTTGAAGCACAGCTATTTCGATGTCATAGAGTTGGTATTCAGCGATCAGAAAAGGCTCGACCTTTTTTTCCATTTTCTATCAACTCTTTGGCAAGAGGCTCTCTTTATGATTATTCTTTATTTATTTTTTTTTCATTTTTATCCTCCATAGTGGAAATCTTTTTCGATCTGTAGTCCTTAAATACATAAATATGTGGTGTCTTAAATTCATGCTTTCAAGAATATTAGATGGCTGATTGTTAGCTTTGACAGTAATGCTGTCCAGGTTTAATTGACTATGACTGACATGCTTGACAGATCACCGGATTCTCTTTTCTACTCAGAGCCTCGTTTTGTTACACACATTGATGACCCCGCAATTCGTGCTCTTACCGAGTACTATTCGGAAGTATTTCCTCCAAGTAATTCATCAGGTGTTTGTCTAGTAGATTTATGTAGCAGTTGGGTAAGTAAATCTTGGCCTGCTTTGTTCGGCCTCTTTCATATTTTTTCCTCTGTTTTTCACCATAATCTTTTTTTTTCTTTTCTCCTGGATATAGGTTAGCCATTATCCAGCTGGCTACAGGCAGGACAGAATTGTGGGAATGGGCATGAATGAGGAAGAGCTCAAGCGAAATCCGGTACGTTTTGTTGATAATTTTCCAATTTTAGATGACCAAATATAACTTTTTTGACCACTGGGATGACCCATTTTAGAATACATTAAATTTGAGATTGTATCTGCCCCTATTATTTCAAAATGAATCATGCCAACACCTTGAGATCCAACATCTTCTCAAAGCAATTTGAGTGGAAAGTAGGACTCTTTGTTAGTAGCATATACCCCAAACTAGCTCATTAAGGATTACTCCTCTTTGATATAACATAATTTATGTTTGCCATTATTCTTTTATCTTTACTCATTTTTTAATTTTATGCTTTGACCTTTAAATGATTTGCCTAATATTTTTGGTGAAGATGGATGATATACAGCTGGATAAACTTTTGTTAGGTTTGCCCAAAATACTACCTACATAGAACAACATGAGAATGTTGGATAGGAAGTAGAGAGAGATGGGAAGATTAATCAGTTTTGAGCGTCTAGAAGTTTATATTTTACAACAGAAGGGAGTTGTAGAGTTGATGGTAATTAGCACAGGAAGAGTTCCGCATGATGGAGTTTGGCTGAAGTTAAACAACATAGATGGTTTGTGACAGAGTTGTGGAAGAGATGGAAGGCTTTAGTACCTGACAGACATGGAGTCGGAATGAAGAATTATAATTATGGTTTTATTGGATGGAAAGACTGTTTTTCTGACTGTTGTTCCAACATATAAAGTGAATAGTATGTTACACGCAATCAATTTCTTGGCTAGGTAAACCTAAGAGTGGTTTTCCTGTTTCATTTTTCATTGTTAGTTGCTTTTGGGTGTTGTTGTTACTTTTATCTGTAAATTTGCATAATTCAATTACATGTGAACTTACAAGTTGGAAGTTGTTATGCATTTGCTGTCACTTCATGCAAGGCAACAATATTATGCTTTCACAGTGGGTTTGGATGATCTATTGAGTTTTTATGTTTCTGGATAAAAACTATTTTTCTACATTATAAAAGAAGTTCATACATTTACAGGTTTTGACAGAATATATTGTGCAAGATCTGAATGTTAACCCTAAGCTTCCGTTCGAGGATAACACTGTTGATGTTATAACCAATGTGGTACGTGATCAGTCTCATGAAATATTAGAGTTATTAAATTAATTAGTTTTTTCCAGTGATTTTCTATCTCCTGTCTTCATATTATATATTCTAGTTGTACTTGTGAAGAATAATTTTATTTGGAGTCATGATAGGATGCCATGAACTTTAAGCTGCATTTGGAATCCATAATTAGACATGTAGTCATCTACCTTTGAAACTTTGTCTCTTTATCATCTGTCTTTTTCATGAAATGGTAACTTAAATCATTTATTTGATTATTCTATGTTAAAATAATCATTAAGACCTACCTTTTGGTCAAATGAGATGTCTCTTCAGAAACTTGTGGATCTATTATTATATGATTAGTTTGAATAACTATGACCTCAATTGGTGCTTTTTTTTTATTAGAACCAATATTTTTATATGTTAATTTCCATTGACAAATTATTAAACTTTAACAAGGTGTACCTTGCTTCAGATATTTTGGAAAAAAAAACTTGAGCAGCTCTTTGGTCTTTTTGTATGCAACATTGTCACTAGTCTACCAACTTATTTTTCAAGTGCTTTCACATTAATAAGCGGTCAATCAGATGCACTTTTTAAATTTTTTTTGTTACTTATGTAATAGCAAAGCTTATGCTGGCTTACAAGTTCTAACTCAACATATTGGAAACTATCTTCCTGTACTTTGTAGGTTAGTGTTGATTACTTGACCAAGCCGATTGATGTTTTCAAAGAGATGCAGCGGATACTCAAACCAGGAGGTTTGGCTATAATGAGGTGATATGCTATCTAGCAACTCATTATTTTTTACTTGACCACTAATAGAAAAGAGGAAAACATGGAAGAGCGCATTTTTGTTTTGCTGCTCATTTTTAGTTCTTCTTAGATCAATTTGGTAACACTCCACACCTATTTTAAATTCGTTCAAAGGAAATATTGAAATTTCACTTTAGTTTCAGTTTTGGCCAAAGGCCCAAATGAGAAGTTCCAATTATTTTGATATCTTTGACAGTTTCTAAATATTCTTTTTATGGTTTATATTAAAGGCATGTCAAAAATATAAAAATCAGAGGGCAAGAAAAAAAAAAAGAAAAATGGAAAACACATCATAGTTCACTGTGTGTATTTTGATCTAATTTATTATAGTTGCATGTCTGGCCCCCTTTTTTTTTTGCTGATTCTTGTGTCCGTCAATTTTTTATAGATTACTGTAGCTGACTTTCTGTATGTTGATCTGCAGTTTTTCAAATCGATGCTTTTGGACAAAAGCCATCTCTATTTGGACATCAACTGGTGATGCTGATCATGCCTGGATTGTAGGGGCCTATTTTCATTATGCTGGAGGTTTTGAACCACCCGTCGTATGTCATATTGCCTTATATCATGAATTATCTTTTTTCTCCTAATATATTCTCAAATGATATTCCTGTCTGTTACCTTGTTTGTCCTAAATTGTGTTTGTTAGCAATTTTTTTTCTTCGTAGTTGTCAAGTAGGGATTAGATCATATAGGATGGTCTTATATGCTTTTGAATAATTGGTGCTTTTTGATAAATGTCTGCAGTTTATTTATGATTTTCCATAGGATTTTCTTAGTGACCAATGTCGAGCTGAATACAGAGTGGCCGAACCTTAATTACTTGAGAAGCAATTAGGATTGATGGATTTTTTATATGCAAAAAGGTTTGGAGTTTAAAGTGCATTTTTTTAGTCATGACTGTGAAGTCAATAATAAATGAGTGAAGCCTCTTTTATGTTGAATATGCTGAGTACCGACAGTGAAAATAAAACAACTTTTGGGACGGTCGAAATAGCTCAGTAATACTTATGTGTGTGCTCGTTCATGGTTACGGCAGTTAGTCCACCGTGATAGGTTGATAACCCTATCTTCTAGTTATTTAGAGGTTTTACATGCAACATGATGTGTTGTCAATCTTTCAGGCTGTGGACATATCTCCCAACCCTGGGCGTTCTGACCCGATGTATGTTGTATACTCCAGAAAGCAGACGGCTGACCAACCACCTCTGCTTTGATAAGGGGTTCTTAAATCTCAGAAAGAAAGAAAGTCACTAAAGGTGAAGTTACTAATCTTTCCTTTATGCCACTTTCCGATGTTTGAATTTTGACTTTTAATAATGATGGATCGATTATATGAGTGTGCAGCAATCGTATCATATCATTGGCTTCTTATCACCTATCTGTATATTCCGCCTTTGTTTGGTGTCAAGGTGCTTGAATTGCTTCTCATGCGTGATTCAGGCAGCAACGTTGTAGCAGTAGAAGAATGATCAGCACCTTCAGATTTAGGCCCAAACGGACGTCCAGCATGACCTAATAAAGCCGTAGGAGCTGTGCTTTCGTCTCCACCCCCACATCAATTGCCTTTGTAGTCTCACGGAGATCATTTTCGAGTAGGTGTTTGCCAAAGAAGCTGTGTCCTGGACCGAGTGAATGGCAGAGTACTTTGATAGCAAGAACAAATTATATGCAAAATGTTCAAAGTTTGGTCCGGCCGTTCACAGAAAGTAGTGTTTCATTGTAGACTGGCATTGCTGTTGTTGCGATATAAATTGTATATGTTTCATTCACCATAAGGCTTCTAGATAGAATATATTACCGTTTTCTTTCAGCCAAGCGATTCCTGTATTGTGACTGGCGTGGGTTGTGAAATGGGAACTCAAGTAATAAATATGTGGTGGGCTTTTTCTGTTGTTCAAAGGATAATTATAAATAAACTCCTATAGTTAATTATGATTAGTATTTCGACCATTATACTTTAAAAAGTAATATTGATGTTTTTATATTTATGAATATGAAATATTTAATTTTAATTCTTCTTATATCGTTAATTTTTTCGATGGAAAAATTCACATGTGTAAAAGGTATGTGAATGAAGAAGATAAAAATATATTTTTATTTTTTTAATTATTAAATATATATTTTTAAAAAATATTGCTCTCAATTGTTGTTGCTCGACTTGTACTCTAGATTATTATCGCTCCTATTTTGCTTGATCGTCACCTCTCCTGTTCATCGTCATTGTATTGAACTTGTTCGATTGTCGTTGTTCCTACATTATGTGCTGCAATGATAGTCGAACAATTCTGTTGTGACAGTGATGAATGGTGCAGGAGAGGCAAGGAGAGGCGATGATCGATAGCCCATGTTGCTTGTGGGAAGAGGAAGGAGAAAGAATGATATTTTTAAAAATATATATTTAATAATTAAAAAATTAAAAAAAAATATTTTTATCCTTCTCATTCTTGTATTTTTTTTATACGTACAGTTTTTCTATCAAAAAAATTAATGACATATAAAAATCATAATTAACTATAAGGATTATATACGACGAATCACAAAGGAAATCATATGTTTAGTTAGAGTCGAGATCTTCCGAAATGAATCGAGTCTATTATGTACTGCATTTATATGCCCCTATTTATTAGTCTAACAAGTCTGCTTCCGGTCCATGTCTGGTCTAAAAGCAGATGAAGCATGAAACCAAGTGGGACGCCACAGCCACCGGTGATGCCCCAAAACCCCGAGTTCTCGTCCGGCTGCGGAGCAAGAGGATGAACTGCCAGCCCTCGTCCTGTCGCCCCGATTATAAAAACCCACCACGGCACAGCGACACTTAAAACCAAGCACGTGCGCCGGGCTGGATGCTGCAGCCACTCGTCCAATCACAAAGATATTTTAAGCGTGCAGGATAGGTTTCTGGCCACCCGCCTCTCTCGATCGGCAGAGGAGAACCGGAGGCAGGCGATTTGTTCAAGACCCCAAGCTTCACGGTGCCTTCATCGAGACTGGGAGATCGCTCGACTTAACGATGGCGCAACCGATCCCGTCGGAGGATGCCCTAGATGCTTCCCGTAAGTATTAGTACAAACTTGATTCTTTCAGACGAAATTTATAGTGCCGTTGATAACAAAAGTCGGTTTCCGAAGAACGAACGGGCTTCTCTTTGATGTGTCTCTTCACTCACGCCCGGCCCTGGCGCACCCAATTTGACGGCGACAACGGTGTACTTATATTCTAGATGTGATATCATCCTAGGTTTCGGCTAGTGGGGGAGGAACTGGCGATCAATGAAATCGGTGGAATTTCACTTCCCAAGTTAATTAATATATGAGAAAGGCACTCGCTTTATTTTGCGATCATCTTCTCAGGGTATTTAATGGGAATACTTCTTATAAGTTGGTCCCGCTCTTCCATCTTTGAGAATCAAGCCTCTTATAAATGCCAAAACTTTAATTCGACCCCAGAAAAAAGCTTGACCTTTGTCATTGTGTTGACGTGTGTTACAACATCAAATTAATTGTGGTTAACTGGTTATGACTGCCAACAATCAAGTGGGCGGCCACCTCTTTCCACCCTCATTATCGTGTTAGATCTTTTTTCAAAAAAAATGTTTTGTCTAGCATATTAGTTGGTCTGAGCAAATTGAATGCTTCGTTTGTTTTGATATTAGTTTTGGTAAGGAGTTATTGCTAAAAAAATACAATAATTTCTCTGCAGATTAGCAGCTTTGTCATATTCTTTCTGATTGATCTTACTGTCTGTGATAATTTAGGAGCTTCATGTTTTTTTTCTTGTCAAATGCTGTTTTTTGATATTTGTAGGGACAAAAGATAGTACCATAGTTTTTGTTTATTACAGGTTAACACTTCAGCCATGATTGACAAAAAATTGTTGACTCTACCTGGTCAGTTCATTTTTGTTAAGTCACACTTTTTTTTTTTGTTACAGTTGCATCTCAACAAAGAGTTATTATTACTAATAGTTGTGGAGAGAAGCTTGTCGGGTTGCTACATGATACTGGATCAAAGAAGCTTGTTATCTTGTGCCATGGTTTTAGATCTTCGAAGGTGGGCTGCTGTGGATTCTACATGAGATGTTATGTTTGAATTCAGTTATTCTTACCTTAAACTATAAATTTATGTAATTACTTCCACCAAGTAACATAGAGTTCATTAGAATTTTAGTGTTGACTTGCATCCTCCATTTTATTCGTGAATCTTTAAAGTATGGTTATCTGTTTCAAAATATCAAGAGACTTTGGAAATAATTATGTTTGTCTGTGTTGGCATATATCAACAAACTTACATCGGTTTAGTGCTACTTAATGTTTGTGGTGATGATCCTAAACAAAGTTTATAGCTACTGACACAATTACATCGGTGTAATACAGTAGAATTTATCTGATCATAGTAACTCTAAACAGTTTAAAGGTGTTTGTAGTGATGATCTCAAGCAAAGTTTGTTTTCGTTTAGAGTTGTCACTGTTAGTCTTGCATTTTTGTATATGCTGAGATATTGGAATAAACATATGCTATGCTGAGAAGGTTTCTTATGAGAAATTAAGTACCTCCTTTAATGGTCTGCAGCAGTTTGACCTAGTGTGAATAAAGCTTGGATTGATCATTAAGATTTCTTTGTCCTTATATATTAGTTGGTTTATTGCATTCCAGTTTTGTGATGAAGAAACATGGTAAATTTTTTATATTTTTGGACTTTTTCAGTTATGTAAACTAGTGAATATAACAAAGTGGAGCTAATCATGCAAAATTTTTCATATTTTCGTCCAGTATAAATTATACAAGGTTTTTGAGAGTTTTGTTCTGGTGGCATGCCCGGCTAGCTGATAATTCAAGTGCCATTTTCAGGATGATGAAATTATACTTAACCTTACTGCTGCATTGACAAGTAAAGGTCTCGGAGTGTTTCGCTTCGATTTTTCTGGAAATGGGTATGATCTTAATGAGAACTCCATAAAACTGCTATTTGGGGATCTATTGATTATTCGTAGGCTCTTGTAATGTAGTCATCTTATATAAGTTGCTTAATACTAATAATCCTTCTATTGTACAAATGCAACTGTTCTTATCCAAGCAAGGAAATCACAGATGAGGATATAAAGGTTAATATATTTTAATAGCATGTTCTAGGTATTGACCCAAGCGATAAATTTTAACAGGGGCAATTAGAATGAATGCAACCAGTGTTGATATCTTGTTAATCTTTAAAATATTTAACTAGTGTGTATATTTGATTTGTTTGAAGAAATGAGCAGATACACGTGGTAACTGTACTGCATTGCAGAAATCGTAGCACCTTGTACATATTGAACAGCACTTTTGCAACTATATGCCGTTAACTTATGTGATATAACAATTCCAGTAATATCTTCTGAACCATAAGATTTTGGCCACCATCAATGTAGAAATATCATCTTTTCTACTTCTTTTTGTAAAACCAAAAAGAAACCACCATTTGTTTGTTCAGAAGTGGACTTCACATAAGTCTTGTTTAACTAAAATGTTATATTTTCTTGGACTTCTTTTTTATTTTTCACAAAACATTGGATTATTTTTTATCTGAATTATCTTATATGCGTTACTTTTCTAAAAACCAAAAAAATACTTGAACCTCTAACATGAAGTCGACATTATATGGTTCTAAAATGAATACCTGTGGAGTTGCAAATACTATTGTAATCTTCTGATGTATTATGGTGTCATCTACTAAAAGGAAGTGCCAGTGCATGATGTTTCTGTCAATGCGGGGCTACTATGAATGCAATTTAAAATTAGGACAAACTTGAACTACTAACTACTAATGTTTTATGTTTTGCTCAGTGATGCTAGGCTCATTTGCTAGGTAGAACTCATTTTTAAATGTCACTTACTGTGCCGTTATCAAATCTATATTAAATTCTTACATATTTTGAACAAATATTTCTGGTATAACGATTGGTGAAGAAATTAGTCTGAAGAAGAGGCTCAATTTTCTGGCATTTCTGCTAGATAAGAATTGAAATGTAAACTGTAATTTCCTGTAGCATAGCTTGTTACTTGAAAGACAACTATTTAAATTAGCGGGCAAGAATTCCAAGTGGAACATTTAATGAAGGATGGTACATTAACATTGCTACGTTTCCTTACAAAATAGCTATGATTTTTCCTAATTAACAATATTTCTGATGTGCAAGTACTGGTCACTTTGGGGTGCAGATTTCCTCTACTTGATAACCAGAAAGCAACATTGTAAAACTTAAGTATACCCAGAACAAAAAACAAATTGATCAGGCTGGCTGGCTGAGAATTGTGATACACGTACCTTAGGATCCCATTTCTTTGAGGATTAGCACCTGGATTGCCAGTAATTTCATAATATCTTCTCAAACACTATTACTTCTTGATGCAAATACTTGGAGTAGATTATCTGACCAAGAAAGCTTAACAATCTGTATAACCATTTCTTTCAAACACTCAAATAATACATATTGCTAGTTGTTATGCTAAGAAGAAACAATCTATGTTTTATTTTTTACTTTTTCTCTATTTTTTGCAACAACATCTGAAACATAAACATCATAAATTATTCCTTTCATTATTCTAGAACATCTCACATTAATTTTTTGATACTTATAGGCCAACCAAATGGGCCATAGGTCCGAAGGTTTGATGAAAATTTATTTCTGATGGACATTATATCATACTTATAGGTGACTATATGACTTTTTCTCAATTTCTTCTGCATTTAGATGTTGATAACAAAATCAGTAATAATATATGCAGCCAATTTTATATTAATTTATTAAAAAACTGATGAGAATTCCATTTCCAGCGAAAGTGAGGGTGTCTTCCAGTTTGGCGACTACTGGAAAGAGGCTGAAGATTTACATGCTG